CAACCGATCTAAATGGAACACCCATGAACTCCTGCGATGCACGTAGCATGGCTGAAATCCATGTTTACAATTCCCACCTACTTCTCTTCCTCTTGCGAGTAGCCACCTGAATTTGCAAAGTTGGAACAGGTCTCAAACTGCAAAAGAACAAACAAATCAAATATGTTTTAAATTGGAATAAATGTTAGATGATTTTAGCATGCAAAACCATACATGCCATTTGGAGGCCATCGCTAGTCGGTTGGAGGCCATTTGTCATTGAACCTCATTGTGACCATAGATAGTAGTGGTTCAGGATGCCATTCTTTCTGTTGATGTCCGCCTAGAGGAGGCAAGCCAAGGTCGCCCAGGATTTCATTGATCCTTCCGTCTTTTGACACGTCACGTCGGTACACGGTACAAGCCCTACAAGCGACTCATCACGTTTGCACGACTCCAAGCGACTCATGATGAACAAGAACTCAACGTTCTCGCCTTGTTTTTGCAGCAGGTTCAATTTCAACATCTTCTAGCAAGTCCAGCATCTTCTCCACACCTGCAAAAAGACACGACTGTCCCTCCCTCACATTCACCGCATAGCTACGGAAGCAACTGAGAAACCGAGAATCTTCTCAACATGTTTTGAGAACGGTCGCTTCAATATCTGGCAACTGCCGGCAAAATCTCTAAGAAGCTACTAGTTACAAAGGGCATCGCTACTAGGAGCGATCGGACGCTACTATGGGCGCTCCTGGCCTTACTAGTAACAAGAGGACGCCACTAGGAACAAAAGGCGTCACTTCTAGGAGCAAGGACGCTAGTAGGAACAAGGGCATCGCTACTAGGAACAAATGGTCGAGAAACAGAAGCAACACACATGCAATGCGTTCTGCATTCTTCCGCCTACGTCCTTGAAGCGGTCAACCTGAAACAAAACAGGGAGAAGCAGCCCAAAACGCTTAAGAGTGTTTTTCTTCGTCCGTTCTTTCAATCATTCTTCCTTTCATCCTTAGGTTGGAGGCCGCTATTAGTAACAAGAAGCTACTAGAGGCTGCTGGCATCGCTACTAGGAGCAAGGACGCTACGAACGGGGCTCCTGGCCTTACTACTAGGAGCAAGAGGACGCTACTAGAGGTTCCTTTGGAACTTAACAAACTTCCCTCCTTGTGCTTCAGCTCGTGCTTGGTGACAGCGGTATTTCGCATCACCACCATGCGAGTTCTGGCGACACATCCGAAGAGACGACTTTGCCGAAACAAAGACAGGACGAAACCAGTGGTGCTTCTCAGCAAACCAAGAAAAACACAAGCAATATATATATATATTATAATATATATATATATCGAATTGATAACATGATAACATACACATACTTTTTTCATTTTGAGCTGGTAGACATTCAACACACCATTTCTGCCCTCCCAATGCTTGATAAGCGACAAAATTGTTTGTAACCTACGTGCATTTACCTATAGCGCTATTCTTGAGGTTTCCATATAAAGACCATAAAGCATTGCAAACAAACCTAAACCCTCTTCCAAAGGTTTTTCACAACAGCTGCTTCAGCTACTTGTGCCAAGCTACTTGTCAGCTTCTGTCTTTTTGTCTTCGAGGACCTTGATCTTCGGACTCCCGAGGGTCGAACACCGAGGGTCGGACTCCCCGAGTAGCAATCTTCGGACGTACACATAGTAATAACCGTTCCTAGTAGCTGTTCCTTCAGGTCCATCTCGAGTCCCTAGTAGCGTCCCTGCACCTAGTAGCTTCTTGTTACTAGTAGTAAGGCATTTGTTACTACTAGCGAGGCACTTGTTCCTAATAGCGTCCGAACGCTCCTAGTAGTACGGCCAGCCCCTAGTAGCTTCCTTGCTACAAAGATTTCTTCTTTGTTAGTACTCTTTTAAAGAAATGGGCTTTCGTCATTGCAGTTCTGAAAGCGTGGTGTCGAGAAACTTTTGCAGCTACATTCAGTCGCGGACTTGAGCTCGTTGACGAATGGAGAGAAGTTTCTCAATCTGTTGATCCACAGCATATGCATTGGCCTCAGCATAGCTTTCAGCCAAAACACATTGAGAACGCCAACTTTTGCGTGGCTTTGGTTGCTCCCCGTGCTGTGCATTCCTATTTCATTCTGTCATGTAGTCACTTGTACTGTCACTATGTTGGTTGTTGCTCTTACAGTATCATATGACAGAAGTGAGACTGGGACCCTGCACAATAATGGACACATCGTGTCTGAGGACTTTACTGAACAAATGCTTTTAGGTTGGAGGCCATCGCTACTCGCAACAAGAAACTACTAGGTTGGAGGCCATCGCTCTTAGGTCTTAAGGTGATGAAACAATGCTACCGGTCATGTCATGAGTTTCCAAAATGTCCAACGTGGAGGTTGGCGGGGTTTGGACTGTGACGTTCGTCGAGATGACTTTGTGCGAGCTGGCTTTGGTCTCATCTGCGTGAAACCCTTTTGACGCACCTTTGCCCCACAACGGCGGGGGGAGCTTCCTTGAAGCGTGAGCTATCCTGCGTCCATATGTGGCTTCATATTGCTAGTAGCTTACTAGTCATCCTTACTTGATTAAGTCGGCGCCTCCTTAAGAAGGCAGGGCCACGGGAACAACAAATTCCCATTCGGAATCAACTTGGGGTGCCCGGCGCGGCGGAGCCTCTCCCGGTTTTCAGCCGCCAAAGCTGCCTCAGTTCGGGAGAAAGAACGAACATGCGAAGAATGAAGAACGCTACTAGGAGCTACTAGGGCATCGCTACTAGGAGCAAGTGCCTTACTAGTAGGAACAAGAAGCTACGAACGGGGCTCCTGGCATTGCTACTAGGAGCAGGGACGCTACTAGGGGCTCGAGATAGACCTGAAGAAACAGTTCCCTATTAGCGATGGCCTCCAACCTAGTAGCGATCTTGCTACTAGAAGCGATGCCAGGAGCTCCTAGTAGCTTCTTGCTCCCAGTAGCAAGGCCAGGAGCCCCTAGTAACGTCCTCCTAGTAGCAAGGCCAGGAGCCCCTAGTAGCTTCTTGTTACTAGTAGTCACGGCCTTCAACCTAATAGCAATGACATGCAACGTTAAGCCGGTAAGCCTGTGTCAAAAGCTGCTGTACAGAGCTGTGTTGAGAGCTGCTTGGGATCTTTTGGATAGAAGGCCTCTTCAGTGGAGTTTTATTAGCGCAGTTTGTGAGCAGAAATGCCATCTGCCCTAAAAGCCAAGCCCATTCACTCAGCTTGGCAAGTCAAGCTTAGGTCGAAGGCTGGGTTGCAAGAAGATTATTCTGCATACCATTTGACCACCTACCATTGAAACCCATCGGTCCCTGTGTGGTTCTGGTAGCTGCATAGGACGTGCACTTCGCAAAAAGGATAAAAACACCCAGCAGTGAGAGAAACAAAGAGGCACGAAGACGCAAGGCGAGAAAACGAACATGATGCGTTGCGTGCACAATGCGTAAACACTACTACGCTATAGCTAGCTAGCTAGCTGCACCCCCTTGGTTTTTCTGACCTCCGAATCTATTTCGGCAGCTTTGTGTCACAAAGACTCAAGCCTTTCTGATGCTACCAGTGTCCTAGCACTTCTGAAGCTACTAGGGGCTCCTGGCCTTACCACTAGGAGCAAGAAGATGCTAGTTAAGTTTCCGGCAAAATCCAGTAACCAAATCACCAAGCCTGAACCCTTCTGAATCCTAGGTAGTAGCTACTTAAGCCTACTAGCGGCTTGCCTCCCTCCCCCTTTTCTTCTTTCTTTCCAAACAAAGCAGAAACACATCATATATCATATATATTTTTATCACACACTAGACGAGTATAATATAAAACTCTATAGAAGCCTTTTGTTGTCTGCATTCATCGTTTGCTCCGGGCTCCGCGCGAAGTGCTCTTGCTCCTCTCGAGCTCGGAGGAGCTCTGGTCGCTCCTTGGGCCGAAGCGTCTCTGAGGCTGATCGCTGCAAGCTCCTGACGACACAAGAAGGTCCAAGCGATGCCCTTTGCTCCTAGTAGCTTCTTGTTACTACTAGTAAGGCACTTGTTACTACTAGCGATGCGCTTGTTACTAGTTGTAGAAACAAGCGAAAGAAGCGATGTCTAAACAAGTCAGTTGAAAACACACAAGGAGACTAAAAAGGCAAGGGAAGACTTGGGAATTTGCAAATGAACTGTATAATAATATATATATATATGTCCGTGTCAAATGAGCAGATTTCCAGGCTTTTTCTCAAAACACGGACTTCCGAGTGACACGACTACTTAGAAAGGAAGGACAGTCTTCCTGTTTGATTTCAGGTAAGACAAAAACTTCCAGCCGAAAGCTGGCTGCGTTTGTCCTGGACTCCCAGTTTCTCCGGAACTCTTCATGCTCTTGCTCTCTTTGTCTGATGAGTGAATCATACCTCCACACCAAAGCTTGTTTTTCTTTTAAAAAGGGGGGTTAGGCCGCTAGTAGAGGTGAGGGAGGTAGTAGCTAGAGGTAAATAGATAGTACTAGTACCTGCAAGTAACCTACTAGCATGGACGCAGGATAGCTCGCGCTTCTTCAAGGAAGCTCCAAATGCGGCCCTAAAGACAGGGGGGGAGCTTCCAAGAAGCGCTCGCACTAATAGCGATGGCCTCTAACATAAAACAAACAAACGGGGCTTTCGCCCAAACCGATCCGTGCCTCACAACGAAGGCCTTCCGCTTCTTCTCGTTGTCGGTCTGGATGCCATGCGAAACAACAGCTTTTTAAACAAATGCTTGTTCCTAGTAGCTTCTTGTTACTACTCACTTGCTCCTAGTAGCGATGCACTTGTTACTAGAAGCGATGCACTTGTTTCTAATAGCTTCTTGTTACTACTACAACAAAAGCCTCACATCAAAAATAGGACAGCATTATACACACCCCGGTGGAAGAAATCTGGCATTTTGCGCTTGGTAAAGCAGTGTCAAATGCACAGCTTCAAGAACATCAGCAAACCTTTTCCAGAATCTGCACACTCTACACTTGGCTTTAAGAGCTTCTTCTCTTCAGCTTCAAAGCTTTACGAAAGCGTAGAGACTTTGGCTTTTTGTCTGGCCTTAAACTTCTGCGTCTTTGCAAGGCTCTTCTCCTCACGCGTTTCCTGGGCCTCAGGTGATTTTCGAATGTCGAATTGGAGAACAATAGCGTCCTTGCTACTAGTATGTTACTTTAGTAGCGATGGCCTCCACTTAATAGCGTTTAAAACTACAAAACATACTAAAAGCGATGGCCTCCAACCTAGTAGCTTCTTGTTCCTAGTCGCTTCAAAGACATGTTCCTAGTAGCTTCTTGGCCCTCGCTTCGTTTGGTTTCTCTTTCTCTCTTTCTCTTCTTTCGGGTTCAAAGAAGCTAGTAGAAACAAGTGCATCGCTACTAGGAACAAGTGCCTTACTAGTAGTAGTAAAAATGTTTGCTATTATTCAGCTTGTTTATCACCTTTCTCTCTTGTTCGCACCGCACCCGGGCCTTCTTGTGCCTCTGTCGAGCCTCTTCGTACTTCGTCTCGATCTCTTCCTGTGGACGACTCCAGCCCTTCGCTCCGGTTCGTAGCGAACCGAACGCTTCTTAGTTTCTAGCAAACATTGTTACTAGTAAGGCACCTGTTACTAGCGAGGCACTTGTTTCTAGCTTTTTGTTCGAAGCGTGGCCTCCACGACCGCAATGGACGATCGCTAGTTTTCTCCGACTCTCGTTTTGACGGACTCGTCTCGAAGATCAGCCTGTTGACTTGCCAGGTAGTAAGCAACCTTACAGTCGCAGGAACGTCACAGGAACCCACAGGGAACGTGTAGTTTCCCAACGTCACAGGAACCAAATGATTAGCATGAGCTATCCTGTGTCCATACTAGTAGCTTACGTAGCTAGTAGCTTACTCCTTGAGGAGCGGGCGAAAAAAGATAACAGGACAAAATACAATCATCAAATCTCTTAGTAGCGTCCGATCGCTCCTAGTAAGGCCAGGAGCCCCTAGCTTACTCCCTTAGGCGAGCGGTCAAATTTCTCTCGGCCCCGTACCCGCTGTCGGCACTGCATCTCCTTCTGAAGAAGTGCTTCCTTGTTTGACACCCTGAGAGCAAATCAACTGCCAGGTCCGAAGAGAAGGGCAACTGCAGGGTGTCTTTGACACGATGTGAGTCGCGCCTTTGAGAAAGGAGATCTTCTAGCCTCAGTCTAAACGATAAAAAAGATACATTTTTCCTTAGACAATGTTTAATATTGTCTTTTGTTCATTAGACCTTTTCCTTTGTTCTTTTCATTCTACCTGGATTCCACCTTTCTTTCTTCCTTTTTAGACCTTGTTCTCTCTGGTTTTGTTTACTTTGATGTTTAAATATCCGGTCTTCTAGCCTCAGTCTGAAAAACGAGACAAAACGACAACGTCTGAGATGAACATGATGAGTCACGAGACTATGAACGCGTCAGAATATAGTATGCTGCATGCATGTCTTGTGCATGAACATGGACGGAAACATCTTCCAACATGACACCTCTACGCCTGTCGGCCATCGCTACGAGTAGCAGGAAGCTAGTAGGGTGGAGGCCATCGCTACAGGGTGAACGCCATTGCTATTAGAAACAAAGAGCAAACAAAAGGAAGAAGGTCTAATATGGTTGCTTTTAGGTTGGAGGCCATCGCTCCTGAGCTTGGAGGCTATTAAGGGCTCTCCAGAGGCTTGATTCGGATATGCTTCACAATGATTCCATTGTGTCTCCAACATGGACCCAGCCGGACACATGTGCTCTATATGCTAGCTAGCAAAGCACGGCTAGCCTGTAATGGAGTGTCAACAAATGCATCTGTTTTCCTTTCTTTTGAGGTCCTGGTCACCAGCGCTAAGAATAGATACCAACAAGTTCTGATCTCTGATTTGATATCTCTATCGTTTTGGCGCACTCAAAGGCAAGATCCGACCGAAGCAATACATGTTTGTGCACCAAGAGCTGTGCGCTTTGCACGATCTTTGCTTTTTCATGAAAGAGAGAAGCCTTTTCTTCAATCCAAACAAAACAAGCGCAAAGACATAGACAAACACAACAGTCAGAAATTTACCAACAGTGTCCTATTCTCGAAAACGGCACAACTTCAGCCGGAGAAGCAGCTCTCTCTTCCTCGCGTGCTTCTCTTCGATCGCATCGTGCATCTCCTAACGCTATCACGAAAACAAACCACACAACAAAACGAAAACAGCCAAAATTAAGCAAACACAAGGTTTAGGCTTTCTCTAGTCTGAAGCTCCTCTCGTTTCTCAACAAGCATCTGCTCGAAGGCAGCCTGACCGATCGCTTCTCCCTCGATATCATCTTCTCACTCCAACCTACTAGCGATCGCCTCCAACCTATTAGCGATCCGTTTCCTTTGCGTTTCAACTTCCGAGCAACACATCGACAACATCTCTCTTGTCTCATTCTCTCGCATTCTCTCGCTTGTCTCATTCTTCTCTCATTTCTCTCCTTTAAGCCGTTTTCTTGTTTTTCTCATTCCTCTTTTTTTCTTTTACGTCTTTTTTTACTTCTCTCTCTCTCTCTCTCTTCGGCCTTTTGCTTCCGCACTTCGATCCCTTTCACCTCTGTCCGAACGGGTCGACCCGTCGTGACAGCGATGCCCTTTGCTACTAGTAGCTTCCTTGCTACTAGTAATGGCCTCGAACCGAATAGAGAGAGTTTTCCTTCGCGGACAGAACGCCGTCGAGCCCTGCGCACCTGCTTTGACTCGATCGAGTCGTCGTGGGCCTGTCGAATGTCTGCCAAACATTTCGCAACCCGCTCATCAGCCTGACGAGACGAACAAGAAGAAACATCGGCAATTAGAAACAAGAACAAACAGAACTATCAACATTTGTAATTAGAACGCTACTAGGAGCAAAGGGCATCGCTACTAGGAGCGATCGGATGCTACGTTCGGAACAGCAGAACTGCACATTTCACGTCCTCCTTGAGCTGTTGACGAAGCTCTTCACAATGCATCTGCAGTTGTCGGTCGTTTCGCTCTCGCACCTGCCATATCGTGAAAAGAAGGCTCAAAGAAAATACCGAAATAGCTCAAACCTACTAGGAATGGCCTCCAACCTAAGAGTGATGGCCTTCAACCTTATACAAGTTGGAGGCCATAGCTCAAAACGCCTTCATACAAACGCAGTCCTTTGCTCACCAATCTGCGACATCGAAAGCATCGCAAGAAGAAGAAAACAAACACAAACACATTTGCTTCACCGTCGCCTCCCTTGTTTGTTCTCTTTTCTTGTCTGCCTGACTTCACCGACGCACTCACGTGTTCAGTCCGTGTTGCCAGCTCTTTGAGTGGAGCCCCGTTCGTAGCGTCCTTGTTCCTAGTAGCGTGGCACTTGTTACTACTAGTAAGGCACTTGTTCCTAGTAGCGTCCTTGTTCCTAGTAGTAAGGCCAGGAGCCCCTAGTAGCATCCCTTGCTCCTTCTTTTGCTGTTCCCGAAGAAATGCTTCTCGATCTTTCTTCAATTGGAGCATTCGTTGAAAGTTCTCCTGCCAGCTCGTATTAGGTTGGAAACCCTCGCTCTTCGGTTGGAGGCCTCTGCTATTACTTGGAGGCCATTTTGTTACATGTAAAGAAATGCACTGTCAGTCTGAACATGTCTGAACAAATAGAAAAGAAGGCGGCAACTGGCCGCCACAGCGCAAAAGTGCTTATTGGGTGTCGGGAAGCGTTGTATAGTGCTGGTGAGTTTCTAGACTACCAACCGAGTTACGGGGCTTGAATTTAATCGTTGCAAGAAGGCACGAGCGATAACTCTAGTGCAAATGGACAAATATATAACTATCATCTTCATCTTTCGCTCGGTTGGAGGCCATCACTAGTAGGTTGGAGGCCATCGCTATAATTTTTCTGCTGTTCACGTCTTCACTCAGTAGTAAGGAGCCCCTAGTAGCTTCTTGTTACTAGTAGTATGGCCAGGAGTCCCTAGTAGCTTCTTTATCTTTCTTCTTTTTCTCTTCACGTCTTCACTCTCCTCCTGCTTCTTCTTGCCTTTCTCAAAGTCCAAGCGGCTTTCCAACTCCTGAAGAAACAAAAGGATCTGAAACGGGCGCGGCCAAGCGCGTCCTTTTTAGGGCCCTATGCCCGGAATTCGAAACAGTTCTGTCCGAACACAATTTCAGTGCTGTGCACCTACGTGGGACAAAGGTGTCGGCATTTTCCAGGAGCCCCTAGTAGCGTCCGATCGCTCCTAGTAGCGATGCCGCTCCTAGCAGCATCTTGTTCCTACCCCCCCCCCACCGCGCGCGCGCGCGAAAAGGTCCTAGTAGATTCCTTTGTTGGTATTTCTAATTGAACTTAATTCTCATTACTTCTAATTCTCTGATTCTTGTTACTACTAGTAAGGCACTTGTTACTACTAGTAACTCCCTTGCTCCTAGCTTCGTTGTTTCGTCCTTCGCCTGATCGAGCACCGGACGCCCGTCCTTGATGACAGTACTCTGGATGTCTTTCTGAGCGCAAGGACGAGCGACTAAAAATCGCTTCTAGGACGACGAATGGCATCTCAAAGGACGCTCCGAACGGGGCTCCTGGCCTTACTAGGAGCAAGAAGCTACTAGGAACAAGTGCCTTACTAGTAGTAACAAGTGCCACGCTACTAGGAGCAAGGACGCTACTAGGGGCTCCTGGCCTTACTAGGAACAAGTGCATCGCTACTAGGAGCTCGAAACAACACAACGAATGGCACACAGAGCTGGAATCTGTGCACCTTGGCCATGCGAGCCATGACTTCCATGGTTTCTCGCTCCTTGCGAAGCACCTCGTTTCACAAAGAAAGCATCCAGCGGATCTGCGGTTTCTGCGGATTTCAGCGGTTTCGATGGCCTCTTCAAGGAAGTTGGCGTTTCGATCTCCTCCTTGGAAGTCACTTCCGGAGCTGAGAAGACTCTAAAAGTGACACAAAAAGTGACAACAATGTTCATCTTGTAGTAACAAGTGCATCTTCTAGTAACAAGTGCCTTACTACTAGGAGCAATGTTCGCTACTAGTAACAAGTGCCTTACTAGTAGTAACAAGAAGCTAGTAGTAACAAGTGCCACGCTAGTAGTAACAAGGGCATCGCTACGAACGGAGCGATCGGACGCTAGCATGCCACGCCTGCGCCGCCTAAAAGAGTGCTCCCATCCTGGCCGTTGGAGAGAAGAGATTAAAAAGATAAACACACACTCCGTTTGCTAAAAGCGAGCACATCTAAAGAATACACACAACATCAAACAAAACAAGAATGAGACTTGTCTCTTGAGTTTGTTCTCAAGACTTGTCTTGTTGAATTGAACATATCAACTTCAAACTTGAGGTGCATCTCTTTCTGCCTGAGGCCCTCTGCTAGCCAAAGCTGATACCTCTGCGTTGCAAAAGAGAAACCACATATAAAACCGAGAGCTAAAAGAACAGATAAGTAAACAATAAGTAGACAACATACGCCAAAACAAACAACATAACAACATGAAAAGAACCTGTCTTTCTAAACAGGAATATCTGTCAGAATGTCTCCGAGAAGCTTGTGTCACAAGTATTCTTCTCTTTTTCTCGAAGAGCAAGTGCTTGTTCTGACAGAGGCCCATCGCGCACATGAGGTTCTAAGCTTTCTACGCATTTCCGTGTGGATCAAAACACAAATAACTAAAAAACAACTTCGTTGGAGGCCATGTTTTGCTGTGAGAACTGGTCATTTTCGAACTTGCTGTCGCTTGCCGTTGCCTTGTTCCCCTCAAACTCTTCCAGCTCCTGAGAGGGTGTGACCCGAAAAACAAAGGACTTCTCCTGGGAGAAGTGGAAGGACCTGCAAAAAACCCAAGGGTTTTCTCCTTTCTTAGGAGGTAACAAGAAGCTACTAGTAACAAGTGCATCGCTTCTAGTAACAAGTGCCTTACTACTAGTAACAAGAAGCTATTAGAAACAATAAGCTACTAGTAACAAGTGGCTTACTAGTAGTAACAATGTTCGCTACTAGGGGCTCCTGGCCTCGCTACTTACTAGGAGCGATCGGACGCTATCCTAACGGGGCATCGATTTGCAAGGACC